CCTTTAGACATTTAAGCCTTGGCTTTACAGCAAATTATATTCTTCCCCATTTTTCGTATTCCCTGCTAAGTCCTATGACAATAATTAGCCATCTCTCTTGCTCTCCTACAGGGACTAACATTCTTATCACCTCCTGCCTTGAAACATCCTCCTCTGCTCAGCAGGTACTAACTAACCTATTCACTCAATCTGACTACCCAGATAATGTAATAAATTTAAGTCTGAAAAATTGTTTCTAACCTGTAATTTGCTGAAGCCTGATGACTCTGAAAAAGGCCTTTTTTGCTCAAAGAAGTCTCATTTTTTTCCACATATGTCAACTAGTCTTATAAAAAAAATATATGGTCACCCTCCCTGAAAGACTTGATCCACTTGTGGTCATCACAACTATCAAAATACTAACACACAGAAACTTTTATGTCAAGGAAGGGAAAGTTTATTACTGCAGCTACATGATGGATTAAATATTTAAAGTCTGACAGTCTTTAGAACTGTAGACAAAGCTTACTGAAATAATGGGAAAAAATGTTAATTAAAAAGACTTTAAGACCTTGATTGAGGTGACACAATTTTTTTCAAAACAATCCTGTTGTATCATTCAGCAACAATAAAATGGAACCTCAAAATGAAAACTATTTATATAGGCTTTCTTACTATCCTGCACTGCAGGTAGGATGTGAAGGAGACACATCTGAAGACCCAGAGAGCAAGACAGGAAGATAGAAGAAATCATACAAAGCTATTTTTACAGGAACCATGTATTTCTGGAATCTGAGTTCATCTGCCTTATCTAAAGAACAGCAAATGCAGTTCTCTTTTTAATGTGCATGTCTGACTCATGCTTTCATTAAATAATTGGATAAAACTTTTTTTAAATAAAAATATTCAACTTAGTCCTATAGGAAGTTGTGAAAAATGTTGTTAAAAATATTTCCAACATTTTTTATTTTTGATTCCTATAGGCTGATTGCAGTGCAAAAAATAGAGAGGAAAAAATAGTATTAATTTTAAAAAAGCTTTATCTAACTCCTCATTCTCCAAACCCTAGTAGGGGCTTTCACAATCACTAGCCTGATATTCACAGATATATCAACACCTGCAAAAGCACTTTGGTAGAATGAGACATGCGTAGACAAGTAAATTCCTCTCAAGATGAAGGTATCTCAAATCAGCTTAATAAAATAGCATGTTTGGATTCTCTATAAAGGGAATGAATTATTAGTTTACATTCTCCTGTCACTAGGTATCTTTCCTTGCTCTTTGATGCTGGCAATTGGTTATTTCCCTGAGGCACTACAGTGATGCATTTACATGTCACCACATCCCTTGCTGTGCCGAGTTGTCACTCCCACATTCAACATGGCAGGCCAACATAGAAATTCAAGCATGTCTGAGGGCTGACAACTTCTGGCTTACAAATATCCTACACTCCTCTCAAGTCAGTGAAGCGTTTGCTCTGCTAAATAAATACACTCCTATTCCTATTAGCCAAATGTAATGGAAGGGAAAGGGGGATAGGTTTTTCCTCTGTTTCAGTAAGTACGTAGGGTGGAGCACTGCGACAATCAAACAGAGCATGACTTCTTAATTCCTTTTCATCAGCTAGACAGATTCTTACTTTGGCATCACAAATCACTGACACAGGAAAAGACTCTAGACGCTGGCCACAGGTCACATTGGAGCAGTTTCTAAAGGTTCAACCTAAATCTGGCAGTAGGTAAACATTGGTGGACAAGACACTATAGCTGTTTTCAGGATGCTAAGGTTATTTTTCTCTTATCTAGTCCCTCAGCCAGATTGTATTTAGTAATTCTCAATTGATTTCTCTTCCTAAAACTTGTCCCACCTCCTCTAGCATCTATATACACTCCTAACAAGCACAAAATCTTTCAATGAGGACTTCATCATCCCAGATACGAACAGGTCAACTATCCTGCTGTGAAGGATAATTCCCCTTCCGCTTCTTGTAAATGTGGCTCCCAATAGTGTATTTTCCTGCCCCTAACTAGGGGCCCAGGAAGCACAAGTAACTGCTGTTCAATTTCTCATAATGGGCAGTCTGCAATTCTTTTGTGCTGAGAAAACAGCTAGCATATAGGGCAGATCTTTAGATTATTATTTGCAGAGGTTTCCCAAGGGTTCAGCCCTATGACCATGACAATGATAATTACAGAAATTTGACTCCTCCTAAACTCCTGCAATTAAAATATGTCATCGCTTTGGAGAGCAAGTAAAAGATTTCCTATCATTTCAACACACTTAATGACCTAGAGGAAGTAAAAAAAGTACAGAGCACAAAACCCCTACAACATGCCATCAGGGACATAAGAAACCCCAGAGAGAAGACAGATAGCCTGTCCAAATAGACAGGGCTACCACGTAGAGAGGTTAAGTACCACACAATATAAAAATGGAATTCTGAAGGCAAGTTCCAGTTCAAAGAGACAGACTAACTCGTTATCTTGAGATGCTTTCTCAGGGGGATTTATTGCAAGCCTGACAACTGCAAATGAGTTATAGAAAAGAACAGGCGGAACGATGATCACAGTCACCACCCCGGAGTATGACACATAGTACAGTACTCCATTATTGACAAACTGTAGTTTCTTCCTCTGACTTTAAATGCAGCTGATTTGGGACCATTATTTATATGGATGAGGAACTACTTCATAAGAAGAAATCTATACCTCCAAAGCTGATGTATCGTTATCCTGCCTGCGTGAAAGATGTCAACAGTAAAAAAAAATCCAAAATTGATGGCTATGAAACCCCACAAGTTTGGCTCACTGACTGTGTCAACAAAGGCATAGGGAATGAAGCAGAGACTGAGTGTTGAAGTCTGCCTCCATTTTGGATGCAAAAACTCATGTCTCAGAGCATTAATGGCTTTCTAATACCAAACTGCTCAGTTTGTCCTCAAGTATCTTTTGTTAGGAGACAAAGATATTTTGGGGAATAACAATGCAGAATCATCTCTGGCAATCTCCAGCTTGAGGGGAAGGAACACAAGTGCACCTCATGTCGTTGAAAGAAGTGTGAATCCAAGTGCCTGCTATACTTAATTATTCTTCTGCGCTGTTCCTTTCATCGCATTTCCACTCCAGACAACCTTAGCAACTACAAAGACGTGAAGCAGAGAAGCTCGCAGCTCCCTGGGGATATGGATTGTTGCTTTAAAACCTCAATGAACTTTGAATAAAAGCATTTAGTGTAGAGGAAGTCTGGCAGACAAAAGATTACATTTAGCAAGAACAAGTTATTTTAATTTGAGTAAGTAAATTGCTTAAGAGTGGGGAAGAGCAAAAAGATGGGAGAGGGACATCAGCCTGTTAAAACTGGAAGTACCTGAGAGTTGCTAGAAGAAATAAAAAGCTGTGATGGGAAGGATGTTGGAAAACAATGGAATTACGGGGGCTGTTTCCCACAGAAGGATGTTCATCTGAGACTGAGGTGCTGTGAGTGTGGCAAACTTTCCATGCACTTTGCATATGCAAGTGTCACAGACACAGCAGCTCATCAATCTCACAAAATGCAGGACAGCAGCTAGCCTTTGAAAACTACTGCATTATAACCATCACTTCTGTGAGGGACACTGAAGGGTGGGGGCACATCCCCTCTACCTTAAACTGAAAAAAGGAGCAAGTTTCCTATACCTTCGATCTGGCATCGGTTGAATCGAGTTTGTGATAAAGAACAAACTCCCATTGCTTGGGGCCATGTTATACCAAGACAATACCCTTCAGAGCAAAAGCACAAAGTTTTACTTTTCCCATTTAGGACGGCCTTCTTATTACCCAGATGGCAAACCAACCAGCTGTTTAATGACCTAAGCAGCAGATCAGGGCCCTTTCCTCCCCTTAGAAAGTAAGCTGAGGGGAAGAGCAATTTAACACAGTTCATAAGATTTGTGCCTTAGAGTCCTGAGTCAGAGCAATCAAACTTGAGGTTATTAAGGCAAAGTCTCTCAGTCCCAGGGTAGGGGAGCATCCTGGAGGAAGTCCTGACTGCCAGCAACACATCACCTTGCCTTTTTGCATTTCCCTGTGTACTCAGCCTTGCCCTGGGCAGGGAAAGTGAGGAAAGGAAGAGCTTCGTGTGGTCTTCTGGATTGCTCTGATGTAGCTTCAGTCTGTTTATACACATTAATGCAAACTAGATGCCATGAGAGCCAGAAGCAGTATCACCTCCATGTTCTCCAAACACACACTGTAAGCCAAAAGGCAGATATCAAAGCATGGTGCAGGACTGAAGCAACAAGCAGAACAGAGCTGAATTATTTACAGATTGTCAAGGCTTCACAGGAGTGTACTGTTCCCTCCCTCTTCTTACAAATAAAATGTTCCTTATTTAGCTCGTGATATATTTAAATATATCTGTAATTTTTGACATTATCAGGTGTGAAGTTACATTTATGTTTTACATTAGCATGTTAGATAAACCAGTTCCTTTTGCTTTACCCCAGCTGTTCCATAATTAGAGACACTAGCACCAGGGTAATGGTTCTCAGAACTGCCAATACACTGAACTTAAGGGGCAGTAAAAAGGAAAATATTTTCAATAATAAAGAAACAGTTATTTTTCTCTATAATATTAACTCAAATAGCAGAATAAAACCTTGCTACTGCTGTACTCCACAACAGTGATGGGAAACAGTTCAGAAAATAAGATTTTAATCTGAGTTAACCAGAAAAAAAAGTATCTGTGACTTCTATCATGCCATCGGAATGACACATTTTAATCTTGGAAAAGGAATTTTAAAGTTTCTCCAAACAAATTCTTAATACACCTGGAAAGTCAGACAAATGTATTAATTTTCACACATGTCTTTCAGTAACTCTCATCACAGCAGTCAGTGCTGGCTGGTGTTAGCCTCAGCAATATCATTTTAACAAGCTAATTATGTCCACAGCTATCTAAATCTGAACTCCATTCATTAAGTGGAGCCGGCAGCACCAACATCATGGAAGCAAAGAGGGAAAGCATGCATTATTGTCTCTTACCACACTATAGATCTGAGGTTTGCGCCTTTTTGCCAGGTCAATTATATTGACTCCGTTGTAATAAAGGTTCTCAATGCACCCGTGGAAATTTTTCCTCTGAAAGGTTCCTGGTTTCCCTGGGACAGGAATCCCTCCAAAACTGAGCTTTTGGAAAGAATAAGAACAGTATTTAGTTATCACCCCAAAAGCAAGAGGACAGAGCCCCACCCCATGCCCCCAGTGGGATAGTTCTAAGAACCAAGTCACGTTAACAGCATCATCTCGGAGCGTGAAGCAGGGCCTGGCTGCCCAAAAAAACATGCCAAAAACCCCAAACCACCTAACCCAAAGACTGCTGACAAATCTATGTTCATTTTTCAGATGACAGAGCTCATTTCCAGTTAGCTTCCCCGGCCCTTCTGGCAAAGTCTTACTGGTGTTTTTTATTCATTTTTCCCATCAAAGTCAGCAGCACTGTGGGTGATATAATGCAGGTGGGGGATCCTGCAGTCACCACACTACACAGTGCTTCCAGCACATCAGGAACTCTTCTACAACTCTGCTGCATCCACTGCAGTAACGGCATGCACTGCTGCGTGGCACTGCTGACAGGTGCTGGAATCTGGTCAGCCTCACTACTCTGTCAATACTCCTAACAGCTCACCTCAGCTCATTATTACAAAAATAAAGGGAAATCTGGGGATTATTTTTCCTCCCACTCCACCTAACAAGCTGGGATACATAAGCAAATGAAATCTCCTTGGATAACCTTGAAAGCACCTCTTTGAAAACAATCTTTAATGAACTTGCACCTCAGCTGTATTAATTGATCAGAGAAATAAAGAGTGAACAGACTGCTACTTTACATCACTTGCAGGTTTGTTATTGGCACGAAGGCTTATGTGGTAGCAATGTGTTTTTCCAGTGAGAATCATTAGTTCTTCCTTAAAACACCAGACTTCGCTTCTTTCATGTTCTATTCTCTAAGTCTCCTGCTTAGGGACTCTGTACTGGGTTTCAAAACCAGAACAAAAATCAATATCAATTATGCCACTGCATTATTAAGAAAACAGTTTTCTTTGTTATTGGTAATAATTTTAATTACCAAACTAATGGGTTTATTGCCCTCAGTAAGGCCTTTAATCCCTGAAGTGTGCTGAGATGAACTTTCAGCCGACTGTATCTCTATAATGTTTGACTAAAAGATCGTCTCATTGCAGAAGGAAAGAAAACGCACTGTGTGAAAAGGTAAGCACTGAGGGCCAGGACTGGGAGCCACAGAGGTCAGTTATGAAGCTAACTTACACCAGCTGAAGATCTTCTCTGCCATGCTCACTACACTGTAACAACTGGAAAAATGTTTTGCAAATTACGTTGGAGCCTGAGTTTTCCCTAATTGGCATCAACCTTGTGGTAGGAAGCAAGGAATTTTATTACTTTGAATCAGCAAAGCTGATGACTCAATTGTTTGGTCTCAACTTCATCTTAAAAGCAGTTACAGCTTTGGACCTTGTTAATTCAGATGGAAGCTGTTCCAAAAATCTCACTGCCCAAGAGGTTTGGACCTTTCTCCTACTTCCGTACAAAGTTTGGAACAGAAGAATTTTGAACAGTGTCAAGGGACAGGTACTGCTCTCTCTCCACCCTGCTTTGTGAAATGCAAAGAAGGGAAAATTAAGCTGGAACACGAGAAAAGCAGACAGCAGGCACCTGCCACTGCCAAGCTGTCTGCTCTTGTCCCTTGTGTGCGCTGGGAATTGATCCTTTCTAGAGAAAGGAATCCAAAGTGCAGAGGGGAAACGTGCGGTTTCTTAAGCAATGAACCTCAATGCATCTAGACAGGGTGATGTCTCTGACTGTGCGAGCACGACCCTGTGCCTTGTCGGCTACCAAGCCCTGGTAGACAAGTGCATGGCCATAAAAACGAATATGGGTAATTTGCCCACTGATGTGCACTGGTGAGGGAACGGATGAGGAATGGCCTTGTATATAGATATGATGACATAAAAGGTCTTTTTGGTAATTTTTACCAACTGTCAGCCATAAGCACTGAACTGCTGGAGTGATACAAACTGCACTCTGCCACATCTTGACCTCATCACAGGGAAGCACACCAGCCTTGGGTTTCATGGACAGTCAGGATGTCTCCTCCGCTGAGTCCTTCCTTGGCTGAGCTGCTCTATAGCTCCCTAGACCAGGATGCTCACCATCACAATGCCAGGTGTGAAGGGACCTCAGAGCTAGCTGTCTTAACACTAGGATCTTCCATTCCTAGTGGGAATGCAATGGTCCTCACCTGCTCATCTCCATTGGGAGAGCTGTAATCTGAGCAGGTCGTGGCTGGATAGAGGCACAACTCCAAGTTGTTATCCTCACAATCATGTCATCAGATGCAGGGATGGTGCACAGCGATCCCATTAAAATCACATTGGAGACGATGACACAGCACCTTACCCTACAGATAAGTGCAGTTGCTCCCTGGAGATTTGGCTAGAACCCAGGTTATACCTTTTAGTTTAGCTCAGAGCCTGCTGTATTTTGAAGTGTAAGCATAATCTAATGCATGTTTACCCAAAGGCTGGCCATTTTCTGAAATTGTCATATATAGAGTTAATGATAAAGTGTATGTTTGTTAACTACGAAAGAAGCTCTCTGGGAAGGAAACGTTAAATAAAGGAAAGAAACACCTCACAGGGCAGTTGCTTTCTACCACATTCATTTTATACTAATTCAGCCTCCTCTCCCAGGTTATAACCTAAAGGGTTTCACACACCTCATAATCAATATCCAAGTGATCTGAATCCCCCTTCGTTCGGAAATGCTGGGTGTGTTTGTCCACCGAGAAGTTCACTTGCTTGTTGAAGCGCTCTATGAGAACGGAGTGCCAGTGCTGGTCATCCAGAAGGCTGCCCAGGGTGACGGACGTGTGGCTGTTACTGAAGTGCAGGTTGGAGTCCCCTGGAGGGGCAGAGACAGGCAGAAGACACCCGTTACTCCCAGACCCATAACTGAAGTATGAGGACTCAAGGGGAGCACAGAGCAATGCTCCTATATTCTAACTGGAGGTCTGCCCATCAGAAACAGACTCTTGACAAAGTTGATCTTAGCTTCTTTGGGCCTCTTATTCATACATGTGTGTATATGCACATACACGTGTTTTTTTCCCCCGAAACCCTTGCAATAAACCAGGAGGTTTTCCCCGATGCTGCACTCAACACACAGCAGCACACAGGACATGGCTGCTCTGCCTGTGCCTTTAGTCCTGCAATGCATTCGAGGTCCTGGTGTTTTAAGTGCTCCCTTCAGGGTGCACCAAAATCTCCCGTCTATTCATGTTAACAGACCACTTCTGACACTTCAGTTTCAACTATGGGCTTTTTGTATTTTAACAAGAAAATTGCACCTGCCCATTTTGGGAGGGAAGAAAGCCACAAGTCAGTGAAGTAACAAGAACACAAGTGTGTTGTTCAGCTCAGCTCAAAAAGATTCTTAAAGTTGGCCTAGATCTACAAAGTTTAGATCAAGAGTCATAAAAACATTTAGGTCTTAACCCTGGTGATTTCAAGCACTCTTCTGTTTTCCAGCTGGCTACACGTTTGAAAACTTCAGAGCTTCTCGTTTAAAGGGAGCATGTCCTTTTTTATATTCCAACAGAATGGAGAGAACACATGCTCCAAAACTGTCAGGCAAGATGCAAGCAGATTCAAGAGCAGACATCAAAACTCTCACCTCTGACATACGAATGCACACAGAAGTTTGAAATGGCCAAAATCTTTATGTTTAGGGCTACTGCTGAACGGAAAAAATCTCTTAGACCATGTATTCACAACAGCATCTCCTCTGGAAGTAGTAACATCACATATTTAACTATACTGTATTCTTATCCTAGCATGAAACATTTGTAAGAGGAGGACAAATCAATGGACTTAAAGAATCCCACATGCAGAGGCTTGCAATGTAGCTACCTGGTCCAAGTAACATTCAAATACCACATCAGAAAAATGCTGCATTATCATTTCTACTCTTTGAAGAAAAAGGGAGAAGGAAGCAAGGGAAAAGGGAAAGAAGGAAAAAAAAAATAGTTGGAGATTAAACAATTATTGAGCTTATATAAAAATGAAATCCCAGAGCTGTGTAAAGTTGTTACGGACATTTAAAACAAACACAATTAAGCACAAGGGGAAAACCACAGAATTATCTACAAATTCTTTTAGTACCTCCACTTTGCTCACAGTAGTTTATGATTTCTTTTGATTCTCCAAGTCATAAACAGGGGACTGAGATACTGCACCACTGCCTGCTTTATCTGCTCTAGACAAACTTCTGAAAGTGTCTTGGAATTGCTACTCTGAGATTTGCCCTGTTAATATTGTGTACTACTAGATGCTACTTCTCTTATTTTTATTAAAAACAACCTTGGCAGTCTAAGCACCAGGTACACGAACTGTGAATGGCTCACATTACTTTATTCATCAAAGCTATTAAGATTGAAAGCGGCAGTGAAAAACTTGGATCTGAATTCCCTCCTGTCCTTGCCCACACCCTTATGGTTAACAGAGTGAGGGCTTTTGTTTCAATAACCAAGCGGGGTAAGCACAGCTCCTGTGCTAACCGAAGTACAGCAATACAGGCACAAAACTTTTGCCCAACTCAACCCCCTGGGTACAAGAAATGTGAGTCAGCGGGGATGCTGAGGCCAGTACCCCCAGGCCACCCACACATGACGCTAATGAAGATTTTGCATTGCAGCTGGGAGAGGGGGTATGATCACTCCTACTACAGTAGCTCCTGCCATTATCAAACTGCTTTAGCGTTTTCACCAGGAAAAAACAAACAGCCTTCTACAGAAAGAAATGAAGACAGCCCTTCATCCGACCCTCTGACCAAACATGACCACACAGTGATGGCCTTCCAGATATTCATCACAGTTTTCAACTGAAACCATCTCCAGAAGAAAAGCAATACCAGCATGCACAATTTTTTGATCAGAATGTTTTCATTTAAATTCTGTATTCTCAGCTGATTTCTCATCACAGAATGGAAAAGTAAGACACAAACCAAAAATAAACCTTTTACACTCCAAACCAAACTTCCTGGGATGCTATTCTTAAAAAAAAGGAGGAAGGGGAAGAAACAGAACTTTTTCTTTTTAAATCATTGCCTGAAAGCATCATCAAGCAAGGATCAGAAATTCAGAAGTAGTCATTAAGCACCTCAGCCTTAGTCGGCACTAGTTAGGAGAGCCAAGGTCTCTTCATGGCTCAGCTATCATGTCCTGCAGGTCATCAGTCAAGTCTATTCTCTTTGGCATCCTCTCTCACCTTCTCTGACCAGTATTTGAGCTGTGAACTGTCTGAGGTACACAGCATGTTGTGTTGATCTCACCTGGAGTCTCTAGATACTGTCTAACATACAGAATAGATTTATAGAAGAAAACAAGACAATTCATGTTACAGGAAGAGGTGGACCAATAATCCTCATTGCCCTTACCCAGGTTGATGTGCAAGGAGAGCTTCCCTTTCTGCAGTTCCAAGGTAATGTAGTCTCCCCGCTGTCCTTCTCCGTGGAATAAGACTCCATCCCCCTGCATGCTCTTGAACTTCAAAGAAACCACATCTTTGAAAGTGCTCATGAGTTTCTGATTGAACCTATAGAGGAGCGAACTTCTACCATCGAAGTCTGCAATATCCGACTCTGGGGGAAAGAAGATGGTAAAATAAGAGGAGGGGCAGCATCAGGAGTGAGACCGTATCTTTTCAGGTATTACTCAGTGCCAGGTGTCCTAAGAAACATACATCCACAGGACATATGTGGCATCTCAGAAACCACATTTCACCCATTTCCAATTCAGTCCCTCTGTCTGGGAAAAGGAACACTAAGATAAAAGCAGAACTCCTCTGCACTTGTCCTTTTCTCTCTCATGCAAGACTGCTTTCTCACTCAACTGTTTAGAACAGAGCAGGTACCTTCCATTGCATTCAGATCTCCAGAACATCCCTTGCCACAATGGCTGTTTGTCCCACAAACACACCCAGGATGTTATTCATTACTTTGAACACTTTAGTCCTCCCTCCATTTTCTGTAGCTTCACAAGTGTCTGTTGAGCTGTTTCTGCATATTGGCCATGCCTGCATCCATCTCTGCATCCAAATAAGCATCATCTTAACCTCTGAGGGTTGGCTGCTTGTTTTGTGATGGGCATTTATTAACCATGTTTCTGCATGCAAATTGACTAGGCTGGCAAGAACAGTCAAATATCAATCCAAAAAGCTTTTGAAGGGATTTCATGGGAACCAGGCATCTAACCTGATTATACACCTTTGAAAATCCTATTAGAAACATATTTTCCCCTTCAACCAGCTTCTAAAACCCAATCGCTGTGATGGGAAACAAGCTTTAAATTCTTCAATTGCAATTAATATTTCCTTCAGCAGCAGCAGCCTGCAGTACTCTCTTTGCTTTATAAAGTAGTTTTTTTAAGCAAAATGTATTTTTTAATAAGCAGAAAAAAACAAACAAACAAAAGGCAAAAAAAACCCCAAAAAACCAACATATCTATAACCACAACATTTTGGGTAGCTTGAAGTATTTTTAACTAATACATTGCATTCAAAAATGTGACAGACATATGTAAATATAATCCCAATTTATATGCAAATGCAATTTGGTACAAATTATGGATAAAATATCTACTTGTAAATAATAAATCTGTCAATTTATATTTTCCATTGATAAGAAAAACATTAATAATGAAGAACACCAGACAATGAAGAATCCAAACAAGGGTTTACTAAGCTACATAACTACGAGGACACATGCATAAAGACAAAGAACACCTTCAAAGTAACTAAGGAGGAACATAGACTATCTCTGTTTGCAAACCATGTGTTTTAATGATAATCCAAAGGAATCAGTTTTCCATTTTCTTTTGAAAAATGCCTGAAAGGTCCATATGCAAAGCAATCAAGACTTCCAGGTCAACTCCTGCATTGTGATTAAAGTTGGTGATTTAAGTCACCTAAGCTCCCTTGAAAGTTCTTCTATCCTTTTGAGTGTTAACGGTAGTTTCATTTGCTCCTCTTCAAAAAAAAGAAATAATAGGTGTTTTTTTCCTTTTTTAAACTGGACCGAGATTTAAAGAGGTTTGCAATTAAAAACTATTGCAAACTCAGAAAATAAAAGACCTGTTAATGACTTGTTACCATGGAAACCACCATCGACAACTTCTGCATGGCAGTATGACAATTTGTACAGAAGTTTGATAGCACACTTACAAATTTGCAGGGAGCTCAAAATTTAAATCCCATGCAAAATTCTGTCACTCTCGAACTGGAAAAAATCACTCCAAAATAAACTAAGACCAACTTCTTATCTATGATGTTGAGAATTATTACATGCTGTTTAGCATCATACGTGAAGAGTTGCTGGTTTAGGAAATACCACAAACACAAAAGTGTTCACTCCATCTGCTTTTACTGTTTTTTACTTCTGAATTAGGTGTTCAGAAAAGCTCCTTCAGAATTGCTGTTTTCTCTCTATTGACAACTTGACTACCAGTTTCTATAAAGGCAATTAAATTCATAGTTTAGTTATTATGAATTTTTCCTAGCTACATTAGATACTTCAGTTTGTTTAAAGTAAATTGCAAGTGTATCATAAAAATGGTTTCATTTTAACACAGGAGGAATTAGGAAATAGCTTACAAAGAAGTTACAGTCTTTGATTTCCAGTGCATTTTGCAGTTAAAGTTGATTTTCCTCCCAGCTCTCAAAAACAAAGGTACTGTAAGAGAGCACTGATTCAGTGTTGCTGTAATAACAACCCTTTCTTCTTCTTCTTCAGATCCAAGCCTTCAACTAGTCTGGATTCACACTTCAGTCCTTGTTTTAACTCTCCACTAAGCCACAGTATAATACGCAATTTTAGAAAAGGTCTAACACTGAGTTTTACAGAGCATAACACAAAGGAAAACCTGTTTCTGAAAAGTTCGGCTTCACTAATTATCGTCTGAGAGTGCCCTGGCCAATAAATAGCCCTGAATGAAACGGGAATATGTCAAATAAATGCTAGCACTGGCAGCTAAAAGTCACTAGTGGCAGTTTGCATGACAACAAATCGTTGGCTTCCTGTTAAAAACTGAAAGATACAGCACAAGTCTAATACAGTCACTCCAGAAAACCTGCTTGTTTGCTTAGTGTATTTAGAGTCCATGTTTGTCCACAATCCACTTGCGGAAAGAAAACACGGACTGGAGATGTCGTAAGTCTCAAAAAACCTGTAGGAATAACAAACTAAACGAAAGAACGTGGGTTCATTCTGCACTGCCTGCTGGTTTACTTAGGCTCCCTGAAGAGAGATTTTGCTCAGCCTGGGTACTTTTCTACACTGTCCTCATCAACACGGCTGCAAAACTCAACAAAAGCGAGGTCAGGCAAAAGAAGTTTCTTTCATGTCACTCTCCTCTGACCCTCAATTCAAACAGATGTCTCTGCTGTAAATATATATGTACTTCTGCTCACAGGTGAAGAACTTCCCATAAAACAGAAATCATTCATCATGCTTTTCTGAAATTCAATAGAGTTTCTGGCCCCAGGGGTCCCGGTTACATTATTCCACTTGAATTTTCTTTCTCAACACAGATCCAAACGTTAAAGTCACTTGGGTGCAGGTGATAACGCAGGCAGCTGAAAGTAGATTATCAGATTAATTCAACCAAAAATAAAAGAAAAAGGCACATGTGACCACGGGGCTCAAGTCGCGGGACCAGGGACCAGCTATGCTGAGGGGCTGGGAGCACTGTGTGAGCACGGAGGTCGCTTGTGTAGCAATCTGCTCCTGGCAGCAGAGAGGATGCTCATTCACTCTTACAAGGACGGTTCCCCTAGTGATTTTGGAAAAAGTAAACACCTGCTTGGCAAAGTTATTCCAAAATGAAAAAATATCCTCTAGAACAGTTGCAATTTGAGACGGGAACTTTGAGTCTTGGACTTGCATCAATTACCAGAAGCATCAAACTCCTGCAGGGAGGAGGAGCGCTGTTCCTGGTCTGAACAGATGTCTCTCTTGGCCGGTCATGACTTACTGGTGTGAGTGAGTCTGAAGCAGTCTGACTTCGCAAGTCCAAGGGATGAATGTGGATGAGCACCTCAGAGGTGACTGTTCTGCTAGGCAGCTTTATCCCTGTCACAAATTTATGCCTGCCTCTTGGTAAGCAATCATTTGGGTATTTATCTTATGCAGCTGGTTACAAATGCTATTGGTCAATGTCCATCAGGCATTAAGTGCTTCTCTGCAACACCTTCTTTTCTCTCTCATAATATGACAAAGGAGAGGATGGAGGAATATGGGAAAAACTGGGGGTGGGAGGAGAGAGAAAAAATCCAGTAAAAATTTCATTTAATCAAAAAGCACAATATCATATTCCCTGAAGCAATGACAGCAAAAGATGAGAAATCAAGAGTCCTGAACTGCAAATTATGAACTTGGCTCTCAAAAGCAGAAGATACCCTGTCTCACTCCCTATCACTGTTTCTCCTGTGGTTTCCCAGCCTGTTAACTGCACATACACCTGATTCTGCTGATGCATTTTGGGCGGTTAACCAGTTATAGAATACGATCAGCATCTTTAATGCAGCTATAAATCTTGCCTTATAAAAGCAATTGTGTCAGCAGATTTTTTTCCTGCGCTAAGCTAACAAGACCTTTCCCAAGCATAAAGATACTCCCATTCGCCCCTCACCACCCCCAGCATCCAAAGCAGTTGGTTTGCCATTTGTCTGAACACGTCCTCTGTCGCAGCTCTGGTTATCTGTTACAATCACACTGCTTCTGGAGCTGCTGCTGCAAAGGGACAGTGAGAGCTTACACATACCTTTTGGATGGAAATTTCCATTTAAGTCATCATAAATCCTTTCCTGAACAGGAAACATCAACATAAGTTTTCAGATCAGAACAACTCATTCCTATTTAGTACCTGTTTTGAGGATGCGAGATGGAATTTCACAGGAATTTCAAATAAATGTAATTAATTTTCATTTAAATACATACTTTCTGTGTAAGAAAGTAAACAAAAATTAGCGTGTGTCATCTGTGCATTCCAGCTCATTTGACAGCCTTGAAGTGCTTTGTTGCACAGCAACTTCGATCTGTATGGGATAGGGTCAAACACACTCACATGTCTGAAACAGCTTTGCTGTTAAAAACACATTTTTATGTTCCAAAGAAACAATGTCAACTGCCATCCAATTAGAGGGTGAAAAGAAAAAGGGGGAAAAAAAAAAAAAGCAAGCTTTCTTGTTTGACAGAGAAGTATTTGGGATATATTCATAATAGCAAATTGCTTCTGGAAGAGTAATAACAGCCAGTGTGTGCCATTTAGCAGCGCAGTGCAACTGCACGTTAAGGTAGTCACCTTGGCATCCACTGCACATCTGTAACGTTAATCTCCAAAGTGATTCTTCAGTATTTTTGTTACTGTGTCCTGGCAGAGGGTTCAGTGACCTACAAGACCTAATGCCTTCCGCGTTCTCCCTACTAAACAGTCATCATGGAAAGCTGCATTTGCCAAAAGTTAGCCCCAGGTTGTGTTCCTGGTTCCTCTTCGATAGCACATGCTGCACAGGACAGTCATACTCCAAAAACGGGAGGTCAGAGCCTTGTGCGGGCACAAGAGTGTCGCATTCACCTAGCTCTCCCATCACGAAATTGCTTAAGCAGCAGCGAAGCCATAAACCTCTCCTGCAGCTGTCATCCTCTGCTCAAATATGCAAGGTTAAAAAGGAGCTGATGTGAGCAGAGACCATCCAAGGAACCACAGGCTATTTTTCACGCGCTGGTGTATCGCAGCGAGGTGCTCAGATGCATGTTTGGCAGTAATCCCAGGATTTTAACAGATGTGCAGCAGAACATGAAATTCAGATAGCCTAGGCTGTTACCATCCCCCAGATTTTTGTTTCAGCCAACCAATGAAGGTTGCCACTCATGCAAAAAGGACCTCCAGCTTCCCTGTAAAAGAAAACTTTCATACCACAGTTTTCTGCCCTGGATATCTATATAAATCAACTCTGGTTTCTGATCAGGTGCTGTGCTTCTAGGGCAACATTTGACTGAAAGGTGGAATGGACAGCCAGCAGTCCAGCATCGTCTGAGTTTTAGCCTCCTCCTACCAGTTGCTAAGAGGTAGAAATAACCCTGCAGGCACACATGCACGTTTGCACAGGATTTGGTTCATCGGTGTTCCCCATACACGTTCTCTTCTACTTCAGGACTAGATCCAAACCTAAACTGCTCGTGAAACTCCTTTCTTCAATTTCAGTGGACTTAAGATCACTAGATTTGTTTACCTACAGAGTCTTAAACTCACCTCAACAGCATAAAGAGGACTGGGCATAACTGGGAATTAGGTTTTAACAGATGCATTTATATCAGCAGAAGCCTTCGGTACAGAGAGGTGACTATAATGCTGTTCCTACTCCAGGCCCAAATACCTTCTTTAATATACACGCAGACACTTGCATGAAGGGACATCTTCTAGCTCTGTTTCCTCCTGGCTTGTCCAACAGCCTCTCTCTAGTGATATTTTGTCATTGTTGTAAACTCTTTTCAAATTATTAATATATTTCTTGTACCAGAATTGAACATGGTAGATGAATTTGTATGCTGTCAAACATTACAAAATGCAGTTACGTAGGTGTACGCCAGCTCAAGATCTACTGTAGATACATCTACTGTAGATGCCAGTGTAGCAGTAAAGATGACATTTTTAAATGATCAAACATCTTTTGTACAGTATTGGAGTGCCTGGGTTAGGAGTAGCCAAGACTGTGAAACTACAAAGGCAAAGCTTATAGACAGGTATTGCTTGTCATATGCAATTTCACAGTACCATAGAATAGTTTAGGTTGGAAGGAACCTTAAAGATCATCTAGTTCCAGGTATCCTGCAATAAGCAGGGACATCTCCCGCTAGATCAGGGTGCTCAGAGCCCCATCCAACCTGACCTTGAACTTTTCCATGAATGGGACACCTACCACCTCTCCAGGCAACAGGTTGTAAACAATTTCTTCCTTATATCTGTATCTTATATCTATATCTACCCTCTTTTAGTTTAAAAGCATTACTCCTTGTCCTATCACAACAGGCCCTGCTAAGAAGTTTGTCCCAATCTTTCTTATAAAACCCCTTCAGGTACTGGAAGGTGCTATAAGGACTCCCCAGAGCCTTCTCTTCTCCAGGCTGATCAAGCCCAACTCTCTCAGCCTGTCCCCACAGGAGAGGTGCTCCAGCCCTCTGAGCATCTTCGTGGTCTCCTCTGGACTCGCTCGTACAGGTCCATGTCCTCCTTATGTTGTGGGCCCCAGAGCTCTAATGCAGTACTGCAGGTGGGGTCACAAGAGCAGAGTAGAGGAGCAGAATCACCTCTCTCGACCTGCTGGTCATGCTTCTGATGCAGCCCGAGATACGGCTGGCTTTCTGGGCTGTGAGCACACACTGCTGGCTTATGTCCAGTTTTCATCCACCAGTGTCCCCAAATCCTTCATGTCAGGGGTCCTCAATCCCTTCATTCCCCAGCCTGTACTGGCAACCAGGGCTTGCCCCAACCCAGGTGGAGGACCCTGCACTTGGCCTTGTTGAACCTCATAGGGTTCACATGGGCCCACTTCTCCAGCTTGTCCAGGTCCCTCTGGATGGCAATCCCTCTCCTCCAGCATACCAACCTCTGAGGGTGCGCTTGATCCCACTGTGTCATTGATGAAGATATTAAACAGTACTGATTGCAATATGGACCCCTGAGGGACACCACTCCTCACTGATCCAGACATTGAGCCATTGACCACTACCCTGCGGATGAGACCATCCCATCACATCATCTCTCTCCAGTTTAGAGAAGGATGTTGCGTGGGACCATGTCAAAGGCCTTACAGAAGTTCAGACCGATGACATCCATAGCTCTTTCCTTGTCCACTGATGTAGTCACTCCATCACAGAAAGCCATAGAATTTGTCGTAGAGAAATTTGAATGGCACATTTATATAAACGGAATTAATATTTCAACACTCTGTGAAACTTTTATGAATGCCTTTATTTCTTTTCTTGCTTGCTTGCTTCAATCTCATACCTTAATTCTGCACAACCATTTTTATTTCATATAACTGCAGGGTACAGAACAAAGATAAAGACTTATATGATATCAGCACGTGGAAACTCAGCCTGCAAGTACCTCTGAAGTCTTCTTCATACCATAGAAGATACAACCACAATCTGACATTAAAGTAGGACCCATGTTGCATGTTGCATGGGGTAGTACCAAAACCCATTCAAGCTACAAAACTTTAACCTTCAGTTCCAGTTCTATTTGCTGCACATCTATTTGGACAATACTCTTCAGTGCAGAGGTATGGTCAGCATTAAGGGAAGAAAGTTCTTTGAAAACAGATGAGATGGCTGCTTTGGATTGATGATGTTGAGGGCAGTTGGTTTTGGTTTGCAGGTTTCAGTTTCCAGGTCCACCGGTAGGGTTGAAAAAAAAGTCTTTTGAATCAGTGACTATCCATCCAGACTAGACTGTTTCAGGTCTGTATTTAAATGAATGATAGTCCACAGTTCCTGAGCATTAAAGTAGGTGGAGAAGCAGAATTTTAAAGAAATAAATAAATTAGATTGATGGAGTTTTTAGATCTACACACACCCCATAATAAGGCTCTTCCTGCAAAACCATGTGACTCAGTCCTGATATGAGTTTAGTGAGGAGGCCACTAAGACTCCTGGAGCTGCCTCTCTATTCAATGGGATCAAGTGAAGCAAAAGGTTAAAGACAGCTTGCTTTTTGATTCTACTCAGATGAACTTAAGAAACCTCCCAAATAGGAGTTTTTCCACTTATAATCTTACAACCTCTTTTCTGCACCCAGCAGGAGCACATGAGGACCTAATTTTAATAGGGAGATGTAAAAGTACAGTAGTTCCATAGGATAGTGATTTGTGCCACGCCACACTGAACCCACTGGTGAAACACTGAATACCCTGAACTCTCCCCAGCAAACTCTCACCTGTCTTCAGCTGTATCTCAAGCCGCATGTGTCCATTTCAGAAATAAACCCACAGCCACCTGAGGAACAAATACTGGACTTGCATTTCATCATTTGTGGACTTGATTTTGTTTTGTGTGAGGAAGCAACACTGTCCTTTTTCTTTACATTACACTCTCCTGTGGTGATAGGTCATACATCTGCAGCCGTAAACCAAGACAACCATGTGGCCGAAATGCCCCAAGGCAAGAATGTTTATAGGCTGCTCCGAAGCCCATGTGACAAAGTGCTGCAGAACATGTCTTAGAGGATCACTGCTATGTGTTATGAAGAAGAATGACAAAAAACCAGTCATGCAAAAGCAGTTAAAGGAGCAGAGGAGTTCTGTTCTCTGGAGCATCAGCTTCAAACAGAAGTACTAGCTACACAATCCACAGCACTGCCTTCAACAGCTTGTTCACTTGCCTTAAAACCAAAAATTAACTCCTTCAGTAAAAGGTGATACCATTCCTCAATAAAGCCCTACAAAAGATCCCAAGTAGATCTGTGCCCTCCAGTGGGGCAGGGAGTTTTGCAGCATCTGACTGCCTTGCACTTGCAAGCATCAGCAAACTGCTCTGTGGTGGGCTCAGAAAGCTCCACCAGCTGCGGTAGGTGGGCCAGCACATCCCTGAGCAGAAAGGCAAGAACAACTACTAAAAAAAAAAACCCCACGATGGCTATGTATTTCACATTAAATTTTAACTCATGAAACTTATGCTGGACCCCTCCCACAGCACTGACAGCATCAACAAAAACCTCTTTAAGACAACATGGGTTAGTACGAAGTCACTTACTATAGGAGCAGCCGAAGACTTCAACTCTCAGTCCTATCCACCCACCGACATTCCACTTCAGAGGGATGAAGCGCAAGAAGCGGGCTTTCATGGAGTGCAGAAATTTGTGGTGAACCACGCTGTCAGCATTGGTGTTCCCTGTGAAAACCTGGAAGGACGGAGAGCGTTGGTGAGACATTTAGCACGGATAGCGAATGCAGCACTCTAAATTAAGGCTATGAACTGCAACCCCTCTTCCTGATTCTCAGTCTCATACATTACTCAAAATTTAATTTGTTTGGCAAGTTTCTTCTAAGTGCTGTGTCTCTTATGGAGGGAAAGGAGGGAGACAGCAGCATGCAGAGCATTTCGGCAGAGTGGGGGGACTTAGAGAGGGAGTTACAAAAGCAGGTTGTAGGTGGGGATACCACAGAAGATGCTGCATAATTTCTGCAAACCCAGGATATTCCTGTGCACCGCAATACTCCATCAGCCCCCAATATATGCGCAGTCTCTTCACTGCAGTGAAGGATGGGACCCAATTTAGCCTTTGGTGCATTCAGGGTAGTATAAAAAGGTGGTCACAAGGCACTGAGGTTGTCCAGAACAGGAAACTGTACATCTACATACACCACAGAAAACTCAGGCAAGACATGGGAAGAAATGAACATCTGCATCAGTACACAGGAGAGTCAGCACTTCAACTGTGCTTACACTCAAGAGAGGTAAAGCTTGCAAACAATAATAATTTAACTTATTTTATTGCCTATTTGATTAATTGCCTATTGCTGCAACTGCAAGCCAAAATTAATGGCCTTACTCAGAATTATCACTCAACAAGAAGAAATTCTCTCATGGATGAAGAATGACTGCAGGATTTTGAAGATGAACCTTAAGACAGACACCCAAGCTCTGAGCCTTCTTGAGGCTTTTTCAGTTCATCTTTACACCCTTACTCTGCAGTATCAGGCTGGGAATATCACAGACTTCCTGCTGTCTTCAGAACATTTGAGTAACTCAGCTAGGATTTAAATTTGAAGCTAACAGTTTTGTAAAACGTGGAAAAGACAGAACTCAAAAATAAAATATCTCACAGGAAGGCCATGTGTGTAAGAGATCCTTCGCTCTATAAGTATAGAATGTCATCACAAAAAGCTCTACCAGTTTTAAACACTTCTGCAGTTCAGAAGTCAGCACCATTCACTTACCCAATGCAACTGCAAGCACAAACTGGAATAACCCCAGTAAAGTAGACGCACAGTTCACTCTCAATGCCCAAAGGGTAGGTTAAAGAGACCAGGGGGTTTCACCTCCACAGACTAATTAGCAGCTGTTTAAATTTTTACTCAAAAGTAAGTATTCCAACTTTTTCCCAAATATTGTTAAAAACGGAGTAAAACTTTGAATTCAGTGTGTTCTTGTTTTACCAACTCCAGCATGCTGTTGTTTTATTACAACTACAGCCATTAAAAAATATCCTCGAACATGTCTGAGGTACAATACTTTGAAACTATACCACGCTTTTCCCATTTCCCCTTAAAAACTCTAAGCTGGGAAAATTCCCTTGTATGCAATAAGCCTTATTTTCCAGCCAGTCATGAATGTGAAAGACAGCATATATCTCAATTCCTAAAACATGCTTTGCAAGTGCATTTCATTGATGCTACTGCTTGCCTCTGAAGATGAACAATTTTACTGAAATGATCTCTCACAACCCCAGTTACCTCAGTGAAGGAGTACTGTTTGAAACGTGACCTGTAAAATTATTTTTATTAGGAGCTTATCAGGCTGAAAAGGGTGTATAATTCAGCTACCCCAACTGTCCCCTGCTTGTCCTGCATCTCTTATTCCCTACATTTTATGCACAAGATCTTGTTTTCTGCAAGTATTATGTGATGGTTAACTAACCTTCTCATAAATTCAGTTATATTATATAACTAAAGTTTTTTGGATGGGGATTCTCACTGATTGTAATTCAAAGTTAACCACATACAGCAGTTCATCCCTGGCTGTCTTCAAGGCCAGGCTGGACGAAGCTTTGAGCAACCTGGACTAGTGGAAGATGTCCCTGCCCACGGGAGGGGGGTTGGAACTAAATGATCTGTAAGGTCCCTTCCAACCCAAACCATTCTAGGATTCTATGATTCAGCAGCCTTGTCCCTCAGATAGGTTTTGAGGAGTGCCAAAAGCAGCACTTGAAGATGACCTGGGCTTACTCATACTGCTTTTCAGACAGAAGCCAAATTCCAATTCCAGCAGAGAGTATTTCAGACGGGTTGGTTTTTTTCCTTATATTTCAGGTGAAAAATCTTGTTCTCAGTAATGAAACTGTCAGCAGAGAGTAAGTCTCACAGTCAGAGCTGTGGCAGTGTTCACAATTTCATTAAGACATTAATGGCTACGTAAGATGGATAAAGAGGAGTGTTGTTTTCTGTTTACTTAGAAAGTTCATCCTCTTGGAATCCTGTAGTTATGTAAAAATCTCACCTTTCATAAGCTAAAGAAAAGAAAGAGAAGGAAGAAAGAAGGAAAAAAAAAAAAAACAGAAGGGGACCAAAGAGTTTCCAGATTGTGAAGAAAAGCTTATGATGCAGTGACTAGCATGCAAGCGAAAGGTGAAAATTAAGAGACAAAAGAAAAAGCACACCTTAATATAACAATATTGTGAAACAGGGGTCTTATTTTTTTCTCATTATCCTTTCATACACAAGCCTGTCAATACTGCACACTGCATCACAGGCCCACAAGGTAATCATCTTTTGGATTACATATAAAAGAAAACATTCTGGGAGAAAGACCAAGTTGAAAAGCACAGCACTTCTAGAAATATCTCCTTGCAATTACAAAGTAATGGGAACTAGGCGATATGCAAATATGACTGTGCGCTAAACACCCCACCCATCCCTGCTTGGAAAGCGGGTAGGAAGGCAGACCACGGCAGCACACAGCAGCAATCTGATCAGTGGGCCCTCATGGGTGATGGAAAACCTTGGAGGCGGTTCAGAGACTACCTGTAACTGTTCCTAAGGGCAGCCTTGACCCCCTTCTTGCAGGGCAAACCTGTCAAGTCATTTTTTGCAAAGCTTGTGCAAACAGCACACCCAAGCACCGCTACAGGAGCATCACCGCTGCTCGCGCACACAAGCGCTCTGCCTCCAGGCAGATGGTGTGTACAGCACACTTCAGGGACTGCCTGCGCACTGAAAGGAGCTTGGTGGTTTTGCCAGGTAAAACAGAGACAGCTGTACCCCCATCTGCACGCAGGCCCAGGTGCCCACCCACAGGCATCTGTGCTAGACAGTTCCCTTCACGACACCTTAAGGAAGAGCCAGAATTACCCACATCCAGATTTCCAAATCGGTTGAATCCAAACCTGACGTGCAACTATGTGAAAATGTCCTTCCCACACTGAAACAGTCATGTCAGTAAAAATAACCCCTTCAAAAGTCCAATACATCCCTTACAGCAGTGTTTCTCAAGCTTCTCTAATAACCACAGAGCCAACAAAACTTTCTGGTGAAAAAACCCCACAGGCAGTGCTGTACCCATCGATCTGAGCCTACGAGATGGTTTGCTGGCACATCACTGCTTGCTGCTAACTGCAGGGCATCACTATGTATGCCTTTAGGATTGCTTTGATTTTCACTTCCAACTCCCATGGCTATACAGATCACCTTCCGATGTTTTATGGACCACCTGTGGACTATAGACCATTGATTGAATAGCCCCAATTGCCACAGATGGTCACTTGATAACTTAGATCCACAGCTGACACAAAAATAATCCATCCATTAAGGGAGATGAAACACGGAGGCAGTACCAGATTTCGTACCCCTGGAGGTTCAAGTATTGATTAACAGTAAACTTATCGGTGAGAATGGCAGGAATTCTTCCTCTTGAGAAATGGCCTCTATTACATCTTATTGGTGAGAGGGGTGAATTCACAGGAACAAAACAAGAAACTAGCGAAGAAACCAAACCATCTGCGTGCCATTTCCCATGCAACACAGTTGGTCTATGAGGGAGCGTAACACTGAAACCTGTGGTTTCTTACAAGCCCTGTAAGCACAACATACTGATGATTAACCTGGGAAATTCTGCTTCTGGTGTTCCATGGGGCTTATAAATCCAAAAGCTCCATTAGCACCAAATATTGCCACCAGCTTCTTGAAGGCAAAAGCTTTTCCCTAGCGCTGCTGGCTGTAGGGTTAACAGCTTGCCACGGGCAGGACCGCCTCGCAGACCAAGCTTGTTTCAGGATGCCTGGCTGCGTGGTGCCCTGCTGTGACACAGACCACAGCACTGCAGCAATATTTTATGAGGCTTTCTTTATGAGCCAGCGAAGGCCAGTCCCACTGGCATGAAGAGGTGAGGTAAGAACAGCTGCAGCGGTGTGGAGCAGGGTCCCACCAGGGAACTGCTGCCTCTTCAGTAGCGGCTGACAGCAGGTAGGGAAGGCTAAGCATACAGAATGCTTTTCCCAACGCCCAACCCACCTGGTTCATGGGTTATACTGAGGAGGAACAAAACAGAATTCCACTTGAGATGAAAAATAAAACTTTCAAAAGAAGTTTAAATCTCAAACCCACCGGCATTCCCTGGAAATTGGATGTACGACTCCCTCATGAAAAACAATTCAAACGAATGGGCTGTTCATACAACTCCCATTCAGAGGGATCTCAAAAGCTGTTCAAGGGCAGCCTGGGAAAATGTCACGCAACTGTGGTGAAATATGACAGTTGCTTAATAACCCTGCAGACACACATTTATTTCTCTACCTCATGTATTAATTCAGATCTACGGGAGATCACACCAGTGAGATCTGATGTACTAAGCTTTAGATCGCCCTTTGGCCAAACTCCTAGACTTGTCTCCACCTTTAGACAGACGAGTGGAAACAGGATGCAAGCAAAGTGTCTGCTCATGAAAGCCTAATCAATTCAAAAGATAGCATCAGACACAGGGCTTTATCTCAGTCTTCCCTGCATGCACACTCTGCACAGCAAATGGCAACTTATTTACAGAGCTGCAGAAGGTGGTTCCCATAATGACACTGCTGAATGTATTTTGCTCTCCCACTTTGTTAGGCAGGTAATGGGATTGGTTCAAAATGAGTATGCAAGCAGCAACATAGGCACAATCAGCCCTGAACGGTGAGCAGGCAGACCT